GGGGGGGGGGGAAGGAGACAGGTCAGCAGCAACCCAGACGATGATGAGATGAAGGAGGAGGTGGTGGAAAGGCGACGAGAGTGCATGAATCTCCTCGTGTATCAGGACAGCTTCATGATGCTTGTGGAACTCACAGATGCTCAGGAACATCAAGACAAGATGGTCCAAGCTCGCTGAGTTGGTTGCCAGCACATCTGATCTCGACATGTATCAGCATTCCCGTCGTGCTGCCATCAAGTCTGTGAGGTGGTTGCTCTGCTTTGTTCTTCTGCGAGCTAGCGACTCGTTTTTGGTCTGCAACGAGTTGCAGTCAGTGTGCATCAAGAGCTTGCTGGGTAGCACAAGTGCCAGCAGCTCCTGCGCATGGCGTGAGGCTCGTGTGGCTCCCTCAGGAAGAGCGTTGGACCTGCCTGGAGGGAAGGGAGGGAACTGCTGGTTCAGAGGAGGAAGGCTGCGGTTGCAACTGCATGCCGGGCCCAGGCCGTCTCGCGCCATGGCGGAGGAGGTGAAGACGAGAGGAGGTAACTCGACGAGGACGATGGAGGCGACCAGAGGGAGAGACGTGCTGGAGACGCTGGCGGGGTGGCAGCAGCGATGGGGGAGGAGCGAAGTGTGGAAGTGGCGGTGGAAGGGCTCCTGGCTGTGAGCGATGCAGGTAAGAGCACGCGGGGGTGACGCGAGTGAGAGATGAGCAGCGAGGAAGTCGAAGTTGGACGTGTCGCTCCTCCCCGACCCCTCCAAGTCGCTCGAGAAGATCAGCAAGCTCGTCGAGACCTCCGCCGGCTCCCTGGCACCCTCCCAACTGGTGAACTTGATCAGACGGTGAGTGGAAGCATGATGGAGGAGGAGGAGGAGGAGGAGGAGGAGGAGATGCATCTTATTTGACGATGACGACTGCAATGGTGGTGGTGATGATGCTGGAGATATTGAGGTTGCTTGGACGTTGGTTCTACACATGAGCTGGATGGTTGGGTTGTATCATGACGTTTGTATCAGTTTACCTTCTTCCCATCTGTTCTCTTCTCTTCGTCTCAAGCTTTCTGTCTCTCTTCAATCCCAACTTGACAGGTTCAGCACGCTCTCTCGCTGCCCTCCTCCTCCTCCCACGTCTCTCTGACCTCTCTGCCAGTCTCTCCTCCAAGGAGATCTGCCTCCTCCTCAACCTCGTCGCTCGGGCCCACAAGATCCCCAAGACAAGGCAGGACGTTAGTACCTGCTGACATCTCCCCCGCTCCTCCTCTCCTTTGGTCCTTCTGTTTCCTCGTCCTCGTCCTCGTCCTCGTCCTCGTCCTCGTCCTCGTCGTTCTGCCTCAGCTAGCCCTCGTCTTCCTCTCGTCTTCTCTTCCTCTGCTCGTTTTCATCCTGGCTCATGTCGCTCTCAGCCAGTGCAAGCGGAGCTGAAGAAGATGCTCCCGTCGCTGCTGGGAGTTCTGCTGGAGAGAAAGGAGGCGAGGCAGGAACAGGAGCAGCAGCTGGACAAGTTTGACATCTCCGCCCTGGCCAACGCCCTTGGGATCTTGTTCCCCACGTCGTCGAGAGGAGGAGGAGGAGGAGGGCAGGAGCAGGAGCGAGGGAGGGGGGTAGGGAAGGGGAAGGGGAAAGGATTCCCTCCTCGTCTCTCCTCGACTTGGTCCGCATGCTCCTCGACAGTTTTGCGCGGGTGGTGGAGGGAGGGGAGGACGACGTGGTGACAGCAGCCACGCTGCTCAACGGGCTCAGCCGGGTGGGTTGGAAGGAGCTGAGTGAGGAGGGAGAGTTTCGCTCGTCTCTCCTCCTCCTTCACTCCAGCCTCCTCCGTCCTCCTCCCTCAGCCCTGCAGCCCCGGCACATCGCCATGTCGCTGCACGCCATGTGGAAGATGCAGACTCCTCCTCCTCCCGCAGTGCTCGAGCAATTTCTGGCTGCCTGGAGGGTGAACGCGGAGCAGGAGGAGGGGAGGAAGGGCGAGGAAGACGGGCGAGGGGGGAGGGAGGAGAGAAGAACAGGCATGTCGTCGCAGGACGTGGGGCTGGTGACGTTCTCGCTCATGTCTCTCGGGCTGTCGCGACATGAGCTCATGGTCGAGGCTCTTGCTTCCTCCCGCCTCCTCCCTCCTCGCGCTTGGGACGGTCAGGCCATCGCCAACACGCTCGCGTCCTTTTCCTTTGCGCTAGAGCACCTCGCTCCCTCTCCCTCCTCTCCCTCCTCTCCCGACCTTCTCGCGGTGCTGCTGGCTGGACTTGGCGAGGTCCTGCAGGGGGAGAAGTTGAAAGGCTGCGAGCTCGGGTCGCTGGTCTCCTCCCTCTCCTCCTGCGGCCTCTCCGTCCGCTCCCACCCTCTTCTCTTCCTCTCACTCGGCGAGAAAATCTGCAAGCTCAACAAGGTGAGTAGAGGGAGGAGGGGAGGAACTGGGAGAGGAAGAGGAGGG